CACACACACACACACACACACACACACACACACACACACACACACACACACACACACAGGGAGCACACAAAAAAATAACACTCATATATCACATATCAACACATTCATAGCATACCAGCACAATAGAATCTTCACATATCATATATCAACACAAAATTGTGCATCAACGCATTACACTCACATTTCCCCCATCATCACATACACTATGCATTAATACATAACACTCACATATCACACATCAACACTTACACATACACACACGGTGCACCATCACATAACACCAACATGTCACACATCAAAATAATTACTGCGCATCAACACATCACACTCACATACCACACATCAATGCACACTCACATACCCCACACCAACACATTAACTATCACAAACCACATCTGGCTTACACTAACAAACAACTGGACACATTACCTGCCCTCCACAATGTCAAACTGCCCGTCACAGATGGGGAAAGCGCCCCAGGCAACCACATGGTCAGTACTGACCACCGAGCCTCTAAGAAGGAACAGCTCGAAGACTAACACCATGCCTGGCCGGAGGGAGAGCTTGGGTGGCAGCACTGTGAACAGGCTTTGGTCAAGCTGTTTCAAAAGATAGAGAGAGAGAGAGTCAGTGAGAGTGATTTATGGATATTTTGGAAAAACGGATGGATATATGAATGGATGAATGGATAAGTAGGTAAGTAAGTAGGTAGGTGAATGGGTGGGTGGGTGGAAGGATGGATGGATGGATAGATAGATAGGCAGACAGACAAACACACAGAGACATACATGCTAATAACTAATATGTATCACGACGGGGTGGAATCAGGTGCTCGTTAATTTTTTGGCATATGGAGTTATTAGGTATCGTCTTAAAGCCTGTCCATTTGCCTTGCTTTCAATGGAAACAATACCCATTTATCTTGGATACAGGTCGAGATATTTGTGATTGAAGGAGGTGGGGTCTCTAGGTTTCAGAGGTAAAATTAGCGAGAAAATTGCGCCAAAGTTTAGTTATTTCCTTGGCTTGAGAGCCTGTGGAAACTGAAAATTTACATCTGTTAGGCATTTAATCAATGTTTTTCAGTAAAATCAACACAGAAATCTACCCAGCACTAATTAACTTATCAATGATTCAAGAAAAGTACACGACAGAAACAGCAAGCGGCTCACACTTACAGTAAATTAAGAAACGCGAAAAGTCGTGATAAAAATACTTTCCAATAGTTGTAGTGAATGTGAAATAAAAGCCCCTTAGCTGCTAATCATAGACTATCACGTGGAAATTGGGGACTGGTGTGATATAGGCGATTGATTTACTGAAGGATTAAAACACTTTGCAGTAATATTTCAAACTCGGGATTTTAACACATTATACCCAAAGGGTCTGGACGGGAAGTCCATTGTTAGATCCTAAGTAAGGGGAAGGAACCTACATATCCCGTGAATACAAGCCTTTAAAAAACACATTTTAAAAATACTAAACAAATTCCAAAAATCCTGAAAAAATAAAAGTTTTAACGAAAAACGAATGTAGTTTTAGAAAAATATAACTTTATGTATGCGCAAACTGTTAGAAATGTTTTAACTTTAGTTCAATCGGGGTGTCCGACCCATCACTCTCACTCTCAGCCTCGCGGTCGGGCCCTAGATCTAAATTCTAGATTTTCTACGTCTGATCAATCTGAATCGCCCCCAAACTCTTGTGACAATGTTTTCATCAAAATCTGAGTCATCTGATTAGTCATATGCTTGTTTTTGCTTAAATCCATCGTTATTTCCTTTTTCAAAGTCAATTGTGGTGCTTTTCAACAAGTCGAGACACTTTCGAAGTGTTGGTAACGCGATCGCACTTTGTTCGGCTCTAATACTAAAACTACTGGCCCGAAAAATTTCATTTCGGTATCAAACGAATGAAGAAATGTTTTGCAATAACTATGCAAATCAACATTTTGGCCGCAGTGTCTCGTCAAGGCAAGACGTCCTTTCTAAAGATGCTAGGTCGGCGCGGGCGGTTCCGGGCGAGTCAGATTGGAGCACGTAAGGGAATTCACGGGCGGTCCCAGGCGAGTTAAGGTGTGTAATGTGTTAACATAAGGTGTATCAAAGGCTGTACTACATAAACGGAACAAAAAGTGATTTTCAAAAGTTTTGTCACTTAGTTAAGCAGTTGAATCACGCAGACAGTGATATGTGCCACGACGCAGGGAAATCAGGCATTTGTCAATTTTGGGATATCTAGAGTTACTGGTCATATCTGAAAGTTTATTCATTTGTTTTGCTTTCAATGAATAAAGTAATAATAATAACAGATAATAATAGATAGCATTTGTATAGCGCATAACCCCGCTCGAAAGCAAGCTCTATGCGCTTTACACTATATTATTACCCCAGCAGACCATAGAACACTCAGAAAATTCTCAGCTTCCCGAGAAGCATACAGTGCAAGCTGCGGATTTCACGCGCTCAAACACTAACAAACTCACAAGATCTTTCACTGTCTATAGCTGGGTACCCATTCCCACCTGGGTGAAGTGAGGAAAATTCGTGTAAAGTGCCATTCCCAAGGACACAACGTCAGGTCCCTGACAGGATTCGAACCCACGACCTTACGGTTGCGAGTCCGAGAGCCTAACCACTAGGCCACCGACGCCACCAAGTACCCATCTATCTTGAATAGAAGTCAAGATATCTGCGACTGAAGGAGGTGAGGTCGCCTGGTTGCACTAGTGAAATTAGCCAGAAAATGGCCACCAAGGTTTAGTAACTGCAGTAGCTAAAGAATCCTTGAAAAATTACATATTTTGTGCCTTAAATCAACGTTTTTCAGCAAAATTCACATGGCAGTGTTTTTGTAAAGACATAAAAGGGGTTGAGTCAAAAAAGAAAAATTCGATAAAAATTGTCTAACTGGCGGAAAAAAGCCTGTTTCTTCGATTTCGTTATTTTGACGAGCACCTGATTTCCCCACGATGCCTCACATATGACCGAGTGTTACATTAAGTAGTTGACATACTGTTTTCTATAGGATACATCTTTGATGAGAGGGAAAGAGAAATTGCACTTTTCTAGAGAGGGAACAACAACTGTTTTCAATAACTTTGTAAATAGTATAGATCCACACCTTCATTTCAGTGTTATAAAAGTTTCCCTCATGAAACAGTGGGAGAGTGGCACAGCCCCACTGTTGACCTTTGAGCTTTGACCATCTCATGGCGTGACCTCCGATGCGGTTGTACAGAGACACCATGAGCACGTAGCGACCTGCTGGACACTTGTCCTTTATGCCTCGAAGACACTTGAGCTTGACCTGAGATGATAAAATTCAGCTGTCAATGGTCACTGTACAGATTTAACTTTTTTGTTTAATTGTTTTACACCCCTATCAACACAATATACATTAAACAGGTGGTGGGCTGATTTGACACTGCAAATAAATGCAAGTAACCCGGGCTGAGTATGTTCCAGAATCCCAGTAAACAGCAGAGATTCTCACAGACTTTTGTCTCTAGTCATCGTCAAAGTTATCAAATTTGACAACAAACAAAATTATAAAATAATATTGATAACATAATTGTAGGCCTATTCATATAGTACAGATATGACAATAAATGTAAAATAATAATGAATTATATAAATACAGAGCATATCCTCTCTGCGAAAGCTCAATGTGTTCTACAGAAAAGATAAAAACCATGCAGAAGATTTTGATAAGGCAAGAAAACAAGACATAAGGTAAAAACATCCGAACGAAGTCAACAGTTTTCTAACAAACCTGGACAGGCTGAGGTGTCTTGTTCCAGTCAACCTTCCATCTTCTACCTTTGCTCCCAGCATACTGTCCTTCAGAATGCATCAAGTCACCATAGAATGTCTGTGAGAAAAAGGAAAGAAATAGTATTTTGTTAACTGCACTTAATTAAAAAAAAACAACACACTAGTAAGCTGTAAATCTTTCCAGTAAAAAGTCGACAAACGAACAGCAAAAGCAAAAAAACAACCTTAAAAAAAACCCAAATACACCCCTTGCTCCCCCTCCAGAAACACGACAACAAAGCTCATATTCAGTTGAAGCTTTCTCACATCACAATTTATTTGTATAATTTTGTTTTTCATTTCAAGTATTTACAAGAAATTGAAATCTGTTCAGACTGCAAAAACATTTTTTAAACCTCAATTTCCGAGCTGACAGGTAATAAATATTTGCTATAAAAGTACTCACCCTAACTTCGCCTTTCCTTTTCTCCAAGACACTGATCAGCTGGGACTCTGCTCGAAGAAATCCTCGATGGAGTCTGTCCATCAGCAATTTTTCCCTCTGGCGCAGAAGTTCCTGTAATCAACAAGTATCAGACAAATAAATCATTATTTGCTCCATGGAGACACAGCTAAAAGAGAATGCACTAAGTGCAACTGAAAGGACAAATCTGTGGCTGGATGCAAGTCTCAGAAGACCACCATTAAGTAAAAATTGACACTTGTCTGAGTTGTATACCCAACCATTGAAATGAACCTCTTTTGTTAAGGCCAGACAACGGATTATAAAATATCCCTTTTGCTGGGAAATCATAAAAAATGGAAGGAAATCTAAACTAAACTGGCTAAGATTGTGCAGTTTGAGTATGCAGACAAATGTGATCATTCGTATGACTGTAAATCCCCCATCAACACAATTTAAGTCATTCCGAAGATGGACTGGTTTGACACTGCCTCTTGTGGCCAACCCATACTGGCCAAGAGCTTCCTCCATCTCATTCAGTCTTGTCCGAGATAGACATTCATTTGTATGTCCAGTCCCTCAAACTGCACAAACGAATTTATATAGATTCTAAATAAAACCATACAAAACTGGGATTCTTTGCAAATCCATACTGGTGTCTTTGGTGTAGCAATTAGGCAATCTGCCTTAGCACGCAGAAGACCTGAGTTTAATTCACGTGTTGAGAGAATTTTTATTGAGTATCTCTGTTTTTCTGCTGGGATGTTATATCCCTCTCAGACTGGGTTGGCCCTGACAGACTGGGTCAAAGCCCATTTTCTATATAATATAAAGTGTGTCTTAAGAATGTAAAAATGTAACACACACACAACAACAAATCCAAGCTGATTTAAAGCCTCTGAAATCTTTGCCCTACCTCCTTTCTTTCTAAGAATGCTCTCTTTTCCTTCACAAAAGCAGCCATTCTCTTTTTGGCCTCCTCCTCTCTGTGAAGAATGTCCTCCTCCCTGTTCCGCGTTCTCACAGCCTCTTGCTCCAGATAGAGGACATGCTCATCCCGCAGTCTTCGTTCTTCTTCTTGAACCTGGTACAAAATTAAGGTCAAAGTTTTATCAATAACAGTAACACATTTTACACTATTTAGAAAAACCCCCCCAAAAAACAACTGTTCTTGAGCCCTTTAGTGAAACCCGAGTTACAAAGCAGGTTTATTACATTTGTGAAGCGTGATGACAAAATGAGTTACTTCTCGGAATTGAGACCTATGGAAACAGATACGTCACGCTTATAGGTGAGGTTTTTATAATTTATAAGTATGAAATATTAAAAGGCTTATTATACTTTAAAAATATGGCATCAATAGAAAATCTACAAATTTGATCCTTGTGTCAATTTTTGGCCAATATCTCCTTTTGTGGATTGCGAGAAGTAACTCATTTTGTCAGCACATCTCACATTTGTCCAATAATTCATCAACACGAAATATAGTGACAATGATATATAATCAATAATTAACATTTGCACAGTGTAAATTCCCATCCAACAGTAAGCTGGCTGTGCTTTACAATACACTTTACAATCTGTATTATCACCCCAGAAGACCTGATAACATCTGAAACAATCTCAACTTCCTGGGAAGCATACAGGGCAAGCTGCTATAATACAGGCCCTAAAACATTAACTTTCTGACTAGATTTTTTTCACCGTCTATTGCCAGGTACCTAATCACACCTGGATGAACTGAGGAAAATTAGTGTAAAGTGTCTTTCACAACGACACAATTTCAGGCCGAGCGGAGCTTTGATCCCCGAAACCACAACTTAATGATAGCACCCACTAGACCACTAAAGCCAACACAAATCCCATCAATACGATTTTGGTAGCGAACTAGACCAGATATCAAATCTCGAAACAACACAGTGTCAACACAGAAAACATCAATCATTTACTTTAATCAAGCTTAATAACACTTCTGTAATAAGACTGACCTCCTCGAGAGAAATACTGCCAACCATAACAACATCATCTCGCACACCTTCCTCAAAGTCCAGGAGATAGGATTTGAGTTCTTCTTCCTCTATCTGAAGCCGGAGTTCTGTGAATATTACAAGAGTTCAGCGATATCATCATCATCATCCAGTGCCAGATCTGCAGCAGACATCGGCGATCATGGTTCTCCATTCATTCCTTTGTTCGGATGCTCTTTAAAACGCTACGTTTCCCTGATCTTTCCCCCTTACCCATTTGTAAAGGTAGCCTAAGTAGTTTGGTCTGGGTCTACCCTGCCTCGTTTGCCTTCAATTTTGCCAGTGAGAGCTAGATGTTCAAGATCTTTTTGTCTATTCAGGGGTCCCAAAAACTGCATTTGTCGTTTCCTGATTGTTTATAACAGTGAGCGTCCCACGCGGGCTTCATCAAGCACTACCTAATAATTTTCTTTTCCTTCCACCATATTCTCAGTAGTCTTCTAAGAAACCACATTTCGGTTGCTTCTATTTTATTTTCACAGTCTTTAGTGATTGTCCAGCATTCACAGCCATATAGAAGGGCTGACCATACATAGAACTTCAGAACTTTCATTTTGGTAGTCATTGAGGTGTTTGTATTTCTTAGGATTGGCCTCATTTTATTGAAACTAGCCTTAACCATTGCGATTCTCCATTTCATTTCTGCGGAACATTTGGCATCAGACGTTATCATATTATATTCTAGATATTTAAACTGTTGGACTTGTTTGACCTTTTCGCTTTGCTAATGAGATTACAACTAGGATTTGCTGCTTTTTTGGATATTACCATTCTGTTTACTTTACATTCAAAAATAATCCTTTACGTTTCCTTTTTTGCACAACAGTATCTAGAAGTGATTGAAGGTCCTTTTTTGAGTCGGCGATTAAAACTGTGTCATTTGCATATCTGATGTTATCAATATTTTCACCATTCACTTTGAGACCTGGACATTCTTCTATGTTTCTAAGGATTGTTTCACTGTAGGCCTACATGGTAAAGAGGTCTGGTGACATAACACATCCTTGCCTCTCTCATCTTCCAATCTGCTTATATTCACTGTATTCTCCTTTAATTTGTCCAGCAGTGTTTTTTGTCCGAGTACAAATTCCTGATATTTCTAAGATCTTTTCCATCTATATCTAGCTTTTCCAGTATTTTAAATAGCTCATCATGTCTAACTCTATCGAACACCTTTGAATAATCTATGAAGCATAAATACAGATCTTTCCAATCGCATTGTTAAGGTGAATATAGCATTTCTGGAGCCCTTGTCAGGAACAAAGCCGAATTGTGTTTTAGATATCTCTGGTCTTAGACTTTTTCTCATTCTTCCCATTAGTATTCGCAGCAATATTTTTGTAAAATGACTCCTAATGCTAGATCTAATTGTTTTATGCACATCACACTCAGTGGCACCTGGAGTATGAGGTAAAGCTATAAAAACTGACTTCATCATATCTTCTGAGATCTCACCGCAGTCATAAATAGAATTTAAGAGCTTTGTTGTTATTTTGGTGCCTAGTTCCTCTAGTGCGACAATCACTTCAACTATAGCTTTTCCTTGTTTCATTTTCCTAATGGCAGCTTGTACTTCTGCTTTCAGTATTGGTGGTTCATCTATTTCATTCTTTATTACCGGTTTTTCTCCTCTAATAACTTTGGAAAGTTCTTCTATGTATTCTGACCGTCTGTTTAAGACATCCCCATTGTCCATTAAAATATTATCTCCTCCTTTTGATCTTATGCATCCTGTATTTGAGCATCTTTTTATCCCAAATAAAAGGTGTTGAGCCAAAAAACAAAAATTCGATAAAATTTGCCAAACCAGCAGATAATCCCACGATATACAGGTAGCATAACTGGTTGTAAATGAGCCTTTGCCAAAAGGTGGGTTTTTTTTCATGTACCTTACAAAATCCTTTCCTATTCCAATAAAAATGGTGCTACAGCTTTGAAATTTGCATATGTTGAGTTTAATATAATGTTTCAGCAATGGGAGCAGAGAAAAGGCAGTCAGGTCATCAGAAGAAATCTTACAAATATTTTTAGTTCTGAAATCGATGTATTTTTAGAATACAAAATGTGAAGCGTCGAGTTCGTACTTTTTCTGTCGTCAAGTAAAACAATGAAATAATTGCTGAGAAACTCGTCCTTCTACACTTTTACTATTTTAACTACATTATTTGCGGTGCTATATCAGGAATAATGATATTTGTAGCTGTTTTTTCTTTGTGAGCATTCTAGATTTTCATTTTGAGCATATCTCGTGTAGTCAGTTCACAAGGCAACTTCGATTCCTCCTGACTTTGTTACTATCGGCCATTTTTGGGCCCTGGAATGAGCATAATATCGTTCAATGTTTACTCTCTGCCTTGACTGATTCCGAGGCTGTGAAAGTGCATAATTTTGCAGTAAACGGAAATCGTGATGCCTCGTGCTCTGCCATCATATGCTATGCTCGAAAGAACCAATCAGAAAATGAGAAATAAAAGGGGTGGAGGAAGGTGCATTATTGTTTCTGTTGATCCATTCAAAGCGTATTGTTGTGCAATGCAAGACGGTGAGAAGAATAACGATGTATGAGATAAATTATTCATTAAAGTTTTCTTATGTCGTCATCAAATCTTAACATGTTATGTCTGAAAAAAGCTGTTATGTCTGAAAAATGTTTCCCCCCATTCAATTAAATTTAAACCGAGTAATGATTAACATCGCACTGCATTCCATTGGTAAAGTAGTGGTTCATCTAGATGCAACCACGTGTAATTGGCTAGATATGTCAACGAGAGGGGAAAATTTGATGTAAATTGATGAATATGTTCGAAAATAACAACAAATTATGAGTCATCATGGATATGTTTGAAAGATATTTGGTATTTTGCATAGAGTCATAGTAAAATGTGCACTAAGTGGCATTTTTTTCACCATTAGCATGCATTAAAGGACTCTCATGCTATGAAGTGACCCCTGAAACTAGGCGATCCAAACCTCCTTCAATCGCAAATATCTCGACTTCTATTCAAGATAGAAGAGTGCTTTTTTCATCCAAAGCAAGGCAATTGAACAGGCTTTAACATGAAACCAATAAATCCATATGCCTACAAATTGACAAGTGCCTGATTCCACCGTGTCGCGACATAAATAACTTTACAGGTTAACCTGCTCCAATGGCCACCTGTAGGCTATATACAATCATTTACACAAACGGCCACTTCCCATTGCCCCCCTTGCATCTTATTTGCATTATAATAACACTGAGTAAGACGGACACCTGTCTGAGATGGTCATTTTTCTCCATGACAATGGGTGGCCACTTTAGACAATTTCGACTGTACTTGATATATGTAGGCCTAACATCAACCATTTGGGAATTGAACTTATTGATCTTTATCATACAATGGAGAAAAACTTTATCCCACTAATAGTCAGGAATGTACAATTAAGTAGTAAATAAACATAAACAAACAGAGAAAAATGTAAGTAAAATAATAAGTAACTCTGTTAAATTCTGTCTGTAAGCCCTGCATCCAATTAGAAGTCTTTTTAAAGACATTGTGTTTCCCACAAAAAAGGCGAACAAAATCAAAATTTGGGTGAACTGTAGATACATCACATATCTCATTCAAGTTTCAGAAAGATGAATGGATGCCTTTTGGACACAAAAATTACATCCATTACTGATGCTCGCGGACCAATTCTCCTCTCATCTTCTCAACTCACTGTTTATCAGGTACCTCTCTAGTGGTGGTGCAGGTAGCGTCACATAGACCAAATACTGGTGCACTGTTTTTTTATTTATTGTAGTTCATCAGCTCTTTCAGTTTGTTTCTTTCACCATTATGTTGTATTTTTCTTCACAATGCAATATTATTCTTATGATGAACTTAAAAACCACTATATTAACTCTTTATCTACGAGGGAGGTAAACCCACTACGCCACGGCCCTTTTTTGGTACTAAATCAAGAAATGACAAAAACGTAATTAAATGAGTCATTAAATCAAAGCAAGTGAACCAATTTAGATAGTTTAGAACTGTTTTCGGCCTTAGCCAAAAAGTAATTTGATGTTAAAGTCGCCGTAGAGTAATGTACCGATCTACTGCAAGCAGCTCACCGGCACAGCAGTTCCGGACGCAAGCCGCTGGGAGTGGCTCGCTGGAGATAAAGAGTAAAGACATAAGAATTTATTCTGTCGAGAATAGTTTTAAAAAGACATACCACTTAAGGACTCAGACTTACTAGATTTATGTGGTCACAAGCCCACATATTAGTTGATAAAAAAACAAAAAAGATAACCTTAAATATATTATGTTCCACTAGGTATAAAACTTTCTCCTGGTCTATTGCTTTACCCATCACTCTGGAAGTGGATTGCTGTAGAAACAAGAAACAATCCACTCTCTTACCATCAATCTTCTCCATCACTGCCACCTTTTCTGGGTTGAACATTTCCTTGGCCTCTCGTTTGATGACCTCAATGTCGTCACTGTCCACCTTGATGGTGTCCAGCAGGTTGAGGAGGTCAGGGACATGTTCCTCTCCGGCTGGCGCAGCTGGAGATAAGAGGGACACGGTCATAATAACGTTATGTTGCTAATCTTTTGGCGAAAGTAATTTTTTCTATTTTTAAAATACCACGAAAAACAGTTCTCATTTGTCTAAAACTGGTGAATTGGACCAATTCTTTAAAAAGAAAAAAAATTGTGTCCATTGTAACATTTTTATAGGGTGCCATGGCAGAGCGGTTAGTGCGCTCATCTCCGAAGCGGAAAGTCTGGGTTCAAGCCTTGGTTCGGACACAGATTTTTGTCGCCCCCTCCTGCCCACCCAGCAGTATTGGGTACCTGACTTCGAGTTGGGGAAGTTGGCCTGGAAAGGAACTGGCCACCCTACCACAATATGCCTAAGGCCCAGGAAGTTGTCTCACTAACAAGACAATCCCCCAATGTCCGGATCGGATGGGGGAACAACTTTACTTTACATAAAGGCATGCGCAAATGCTTTGGGGATGTGCCTGTGAGATAAGTCACATTTGGTTAAAATCTGACTTTGGCCAAAAGGTTGGCGCCATGAGCATATTGTCAACGCTTGTATTATATTGTATTACATTTACTTATGAAATTTAAGTTCAGACCATAGGCCCATATCTAGAAACACAATCAGTTCCAATGTTTCAACAAAGAGTCATTGGAACATCACACCACATTGCCACATACATTATTGGTCGTTTGTTTTCCGTCTTTTAGACCGGGAACAAGGTTTACAAACTTTTCAAGCAGAATCAATTTTCTAGTGCATCTTCTATCAATTAAAGTGTAACACTTATATTTTCTGTGGGAAACAATAAAAGATTTTCAGTTTAGTATTTTTGGGGGGCATTTTTATATTCTGAACATTCAAGAAGGACAGAGATATTATTTTTGACATCAGGGCATAATCATTAGTATCATCATTAGAATAAATGCAGAAGTGACGTTCGAATACATCTATGTGCTGTAAATTAGAACTCAAAGGTAAATTTGAATTCATGAGTAAAGAAATAGCTTTCTTTTTCACTGTCACATTATAACAGGTTCAGAAACAGTAGGCCCTACTATGTTGGTAAGCACATTAGTATCAGTATCAGTATCAAAGTGTGATTTCAAAAGTTGGACGATGTATTCTGGAACATACACAAAGAAAACGGTGCTTTAAGCTGATACTTATTAGCTTCCATCTCTCTAGAGGTAGCACAAAAGAAAAGGAACATTAATTCAAAATTAGTCTTCCATTACATCTACAAAAAAGAAAACTATGAACACACCCATAGTTGTTGGTTCTCCAGCTGCCTCCATGCTAGCTCCGCTGTCTTCACCGTCATGTGACTCGGCTCCTTGCTCTACATCAACGACAGAAGCAGGAGGAGGCTGCGCCTATAACAAACACAAAGGTTCAATATCTATAGGATAAAACAATTATCCTGACATTTTGCTCTGCCTAAACGATCTAAAGACACTTACAGCTACAAAATAATGAAATTTGCAAATCTTCATCAATTATCCAGAGGCAGGAATAACTAAAGCAAAAATTAATCAGACTTTATCATCCAATGGGAAAGTTAGATAGTGAAATATAAATAATTTATTACATTAATTACGGTGTTAGATCATGATTTATCCTATGAGTGAAACTGCCAAGTCAAAATTTCACAAGTAGGTTAAATCATGGTCTACCACCATAACGAGTGTTATACATTTTTTATACCATACTGATATCAGCTGGTGAAATAGATCCGGACCAACAAAGTTCAAGTGACCAGCCAATTGGACGAGAGGATCCATTATAGAGTCTCACATGAAAACAAAATGTTCATGTCTGCCGAAGTCAGAATAAGGATAGGAAAAAATATTTTCCTTTGTTTTTAGCCACGCTAATTTGCATGTTGTGCTATCCGTACGTCTCCCTCCATGGAATGAACCCCAAACAAAACAGTAATAACACAAGCATTGGCAAAGCAAGCAGAAAACGTACAATTCAAAAGTGGAAAAATTAAGAAACTGCATATAAATGACATGTTGTCGTTAGAATAGAGATGACTTTGATTTTAAACTTTGCAACCAAAACAAACCAAAGGCTGGGGAGTTGTTTGCTAGCATTGCACTAAAAAACATCGCCGCACTTTTGACGCAATCCCGGTACACTGTGGTGCACACCATTTGACTCAATTTGGAACAAAATTAAGCGTAACGTAGATAGTTGTGACTACTCTCTACAATAGGGACACTGGGAGACTGGTGTTTATCATTTCATCTGGGCGCCTATGGTGAGAGCACTTTGCAATGTAGTTTTTACAGATGGCAAAGAGCTGCTTCGATAACATTTCAAGATCTAGAAATATTACAATTCAAGTCTGTTCTTTGCTTACAGAAGGTTAGAAGGCGAATATAGCCTGCGGAGTAATTTATGCATATTTTTTATATTTCACGAGTTAGATATCAGCTTATATTTATAAGAATTTATTTTACCCGAAGTGCAGTGCTAAAACAACTCTTAAAAATGTATATAAAGCCCACAGTGATACAATTTATGAGGCAACGTGGTGAAATCAGGCGCTCGTCAAAATAATCAAAGTGAAGAAACTGGCATTTTTCCACAAGTTTGTGAATTTTTATCACATTTTCGATTTTTGGCTCAACATCTTTCATGCCCATTAGAGAACACAAGTTCAGTGTGGATTTTTATTGAAAAACCATGGTTAAAGGCACAAAAAATGTAACATTTTAGTTTCTACGGACTCTCAAGCTAAGGAAATAACTCATCTTTGGCAGCCATTTTCTCACTAATTTTACCTCTGAAACCATGTGATCCCCATCTCTTTCATCCTCAAATATCTCGACTTCTCTTCAAGATAAATGGACATATTTATATCCAAAGCAAGACAAATGAACAATTTTTAAGATGATACCAATAACTCTAAATGCCCCAAAATTGATGAGAGCCTGATTCCACCGCATTGTGACACATTTAGATCATTTAGGAGATGAATTGCTTCGACCCTGTCTGCAAGGGCCAACATGAGCTGGAGTGGGACGCGGCATACACAATTCAAGCTACATTCTTGGTACTTGATAAAATACTCTTTCCCACAAAGGAATCAAAGACTTTTCTTTTAAATCACTGTCTACCCATGTTGCATATGCTACAGTAAAAGTTCTATTTTAATTGCTTATCTTAAGCGTAGCTATTGCAGTTTCTGAGTTCAGAATTTTTTCATCACACTATTACCACAGCTACATTGGTGACTAATAGAATTATGTCACAGTGATTTTTTACAATACACATTGAAATGTCTGGTACTCAGCGAACAGCATTGAGAAATATGGTGGGTAACCAGTGAGTACAATGATGAAGAGCTTAACCAGTACACCATAGACAACTGACTTGAAAAAAGTCAGGCATTCCAGATACATGAAAGTCATATAGATATCAAGCTCAGAGTAATATCTCACGCCTACAATCATGCTAGCAACACTTGTCATGATCAAAAGTGGAAGCTTATTCAAACAAAATGCCTTTTTTCTACAGTGCTTTGGTCTCTTTTGATAACAGGCCATCCTACAGCATTAAAATTTGTTGTAATTACATCCACACATTGCGGCGTGGAATGTTCACAACATGTATGAAGCAAGAAAGAGTTCTCAAATGACATAAGAGATGAAGAGATACAGGCTGCACATACTAGGAGTATGCGAAACCCACTGGATGCAGTCTGGACAGAAGCAGCTCAGCTCGGAACAAATATTGTATGTGTACAGAAAAGTGGGAAGACATGGAGTGACATCAAGCGACTAGCCCAGGGACAGGTGGAAAGTGTTTGTTCGTGGCCTATATCCTTATCCAGGGTGAGAAAGGCAATGATGATGACATCAGACACATCCAAGAAATCCACTTTATAAAGGTGCATCTCTTTAAATTCATTTTAGAAATGATAAAAAAACAATGACAATGCCTAAATCCCTAACGTCATATTGGGTCTTTGACAAGTATCAGTATGAAGTAATCCTCTGAATTCTAAATTGTAAAAACAACAACAAACTAACAAAAATCCAAATGTAGGGGCTTTGTAACTCAAAAACAACACATTGTTAAGTAACAAAATTATGGCTGTAATCATTATTACTGTCTGTGACTCAAAGTAAATGAGAAAGCAATATTAATCTTCAATAGCTTGCAGCTACACTTCCAAAGAGAAATGCACAGACGTAAACAATTTTCAAAGAGAAATCTTGCAGGTGTTAAATGAAATAAAAATGGGTGAGGTAAGGGCTGAACATGATGGAAACTTCACTTCTGGGTCATTCATTGCTAGAAATGATTTTCAGAAATGCTTTATCAATGGACACAGCACACAGAGAGGGCTAAGTTAGACAGCTGCACACATCAATCTTAAATGCTGCATGTGAGCATTGAGATAAAATAAAGCTTTAACTCTTTTCCTACCAGGCCAAAATCCACCACTGGCCCAGGGCTTTTCCCTGACCTATTTTTATGCCCCTACTCCGCCAAAGGAAAACGTCAAAACATCCAACTAAACACACAAAAACCATATCTTATGGCCCATCAAACTGAAGGTTAATAAATAATCTATCAGATGGCGATGCAATATTGAAGATTTATTCCAAGTATATTACTTTGGGGTTTCTAAAAGTGATTATGCAATATAGAAGGAGTCATATGAAGTTAAATATTTTCCAGCTTTGAAAGGTCATAACTAAAAAAGTACAACAATAGCGTCATTCAAACTTCCCAGGTAGGTGCCTCAAGTAATGCAGAGAAATGCTGACAGTTATGTATGTGTATCTAATATAGAAGTGAAAGTATGAGACATATACTGAAGTCAGGGGAGCGCTTTTTTTCCCTCATTTTTACGTTTCGAAGGGGACAAAAAAAGCATTGAAATGACTAAAAATCGTCTGTCAGTGCAATATTTTCTTTTGTATCTGCTATCAGGAAGTCTCTTCTATTATTTTGAAAAGGTGGATTGGCTGAGAATTTTTTATCTTTTCAATACTGAATCGGAATAGATAGCGAGCCACTCAGGCCGTATTTTGCGGTTCTCGGTCCAGCGAGGCCAGGTTCGCGAGCCGCAAAATGCAGCTCGTGGTAGGGAAAGTGTTAAGGCACAAAACAAACAACTGCATACAAAATAATATAATTTTGCAGGAACATGTATATTTCAAAAAATGAAAATTTTGCCAAAAGCATGTACCCACCTCCGGGGAATGTTCAACTTCTGGCTCCATGCTGGAGTCGACTCTTTCAAAAGCAGGTACGGCTTAGTCGTCTCTGCCTACAGCAACTTTTGGATTCTTCTGATGTGATAAATTCAGAAAACAAATTAAACAGATATTAAACATGAATAAATTTTCAGGAGCAGAACCTAACAAACTGTCAGGGTTTTTCAATGTGTTTTTTTCTGTTCAAATGACCAGGCACATTAAACAAATGAGCCAACACTTAAACTATTTTTTTGGAGCATTAAAGTTTCTTTGATTCTATCCTTTTCCTTCATCTTAGCAGGTACTCCTCAGTGTCTTTTCTAAACAAAGACTACATCTAATCTCTGGTTGAGTTTTTGTTTTCTTTTCAAAGTTATTGAGACCACGAGCTTACATTCGTGATAGGGTACTTCATATTTAGCTCTGACTCAAGAAGTAATACAAGTGATTCTGTTATTCCAATAGAATGGCAAATGTAATACAAAAGAGAAATGGAAAAGCACTAGATTTGGTTCATGTAATGTTTGATTAATTGTATGAGAAAAAAGTTAAACAAATATAATGGCCAAATCAAAATAGAAAAAACAAGCAAAATATGTGTTGATGACATTTTTTGTTGACACTTTCATTTTCTTATTTCTCTCTCATTCTCAGATTGGTATTTGTTTAAATAAAAATTTTCAGCAATGATCCGAAAATGATACAAAAATATATCTCTATAACATCATGAAAAGTAATTAATTTGACTCAATGGCAAGAAGCCATATTCCTGACTGCTCAGAGGCATATATTATTATTAAGGTTTTAAGATGTCAGGTAGCACAAAGCTTCTCTTCCTTTTTCAAAATTTGCTCAAATTTGCAGACAACCCAGATCCATCCTATTGAGCCTGCAAAGAGAAGGACGAGACTATGAACCTCGTATTTTTTAAAATGTCCCGCCACCTATCATGCCAAAACACGTCTGTTGGGAAATTTCAATGACCCATGAACTGCACTGTTCAAAGACCCCCGAGCGAGTATTGAAACAGCATCACCGACCACTAATGATGTCAGTGCCAGAATGAAGTGAGAGAAAATTTGCTCAACATGGACTCTGATAACATCAGATGATAAGTATCACGAGGAATAGTTAGTCTTTCAGGAGATAATGAATAGAAAAGTCTGGAATTCAGTAGCTGTCCATAATTAAGGAACAAATATTATAGCATTTCCAGGATGTAATGCGCATGATAACGGCATTTAAAAACTATTGCAGATCCAGTAAACAAAGAACCTTTTGCCACGTGCTTCATAAATTTATTGATAGATAGGCCTTCACATGACACTATAGACAGTTTTATTTCATAAAATTAACGTTGATACAATGAGAACACTGTTGTCATAAAACTTGAAAAATACACATATTCCATCGGCATTCTTGCAGATAACTGCGAAAATAATATGCTAAGATGTTACCAAAAACAGGTGTGCTGGATGTAAGACGACCCTTTGCAAGCCTACAGCAAATTTCAGTAAAGTTTGTTCACATCGCTCGCCTATTTCATGACACCTCATTATCGTATTTGAGTGAATGAATTTTGATTTGCCGTGTCAAAAAGAGTTGTTCTCATTGCAATACTAGCCAAACACTTATCTCTGTGAATTCCATAATAGTCGCACACACCACCAGAAAACTTACAAAAGTATTGGTAGCCAGTAGGCACCTAGACAGGTTTCTCAGTCAATAGCAGACGTGTGAGCATAAAAGATTCGGTCAAGCACATCGAGGTGAAAGAAAAGTCAGAGCCAACAAAGGTAGAAATAAATTGAGTTCTTTTCCACTTTGTCCACCACACCTGCCTTGAGGATATATCTAGATCAACTCAAAATCTACATCTCTGTCACAGAAGTTGATTCCCACAGTTTAAAACGCGAGATCTCACCAAACACTCTGTATAGGGATAAAGTAGACTGCTTAAATTATTTTTTTTCTTCTGTAGACCTTTTACCCAGTGGAAAATCTGTTCTATCAAGTTAAACCCTTTCCACAACTATTATAAAGCGAATAATCAGTAAATATACCCTAATTAGAAATATCTAAATGACAGTGTCACATAAGTTTGTGAAAAAAGGAAAATAAAACAAGTAGAATCTACAGACTACAGGTCTTGATCTATCAGCCAACATGTTCTAATAAAATCTACTACAATCTAAAAGACAACCTCTGGTGACAATTATAATATTATGTTAACGCCACACAGAAATGGCAGCTTGCCAAGAGGATATACCGAGAACCACCTTAGAACTATAGATTCTAGTGTTGGTGGTCTCAATGCGAATTCTAATGTTTATAAAACATATCTACTAGATCTAGTCATACAGCACATAATCTGTTCACCGTTAAAACCTCTGGCTTCCTCGAAATATAACACATCAAAACACTACCGCAAGATTAAATCCGAAGTTTATGAATAACCTAAGATCATACTGAAAGATAGTCAGTACCTGGTTTGATAAGCCTAACTGTTGACGGCAGCCATTTTCAAACGTTTCTTTAGAAACATGACGCACATGGGATAGGGGGAATAACAATGAATAACTACTTTACCAAAGTGCCAAACACCCCAGGAGTGGTGGCTAAAGTTGTCTCCCTATTTTCATTATGTGCAGGCTATTATTATTGTTGTTGTTGTTGTTATTTCCAAATAAATAAGAAAAAATAATAATTAAAAAAAAAAAAAAACTTTCTCTGTTGACTATGGTTGAGTATTAAATGTTGAGTCATTTCTGAAACAAAATTAATTTAATTGAAGAAAGTAATATCTAACAACGTTTGCTATGCATTTTTGTAGAAGCGATGTTTGAAGGTTCGATTATAGTAAGATGTTTAGACCAGCTAGTAAAACAGGGGTTTTGCAAATAATAACTAATACGTTTAGAGCACATCAAATTATAATTGTCTTTGCGGAGAGAATATGACTTAGTCTTCTTGTGTAACAAGACGACTCATATACTTTTTAGTGCCTTGAGCGATTAATAGCTCTCGAATCAATGTTTCTCAGTGTTGTCACAAAAATAGAGTCATGTGTCGCAATATAATTATCATACACCAGTAGCGTAAGCCAATGACTGTACGCACATACATGATCATATTATTATTTTGTCCTATTGACATATAGGGGCAAGCAGGATTTTTTAAAAGACGATAAAAGAATCCGTAACGTTCAACCAAGCCCCCCAACCACCTCAGCTCTTCTAACGCACAACCACACACGCACACGCACACGCACACACACACACACACACACACACACACACACACACACGCACACACCTCATACCCCCCCCCCTCTCCCACAAACAACACACAAAGCTGGGTAACATGAACTGCACACCGTGCCCCTACTGCACCCAGTCACCTTGTCTTGAATTGAGTGCCTGATCTGCTCGGTCTTAATGTCGGTCAAATCGGTGTGCATGCACCCGCCTAGCAGATATTACTCCAGACAGATATCGTACGTGTCAGATATTGCATTAGAAAGATATCGCACGTGTCAGATATTTCACAAGACAGATATCGCATCAGGCCATTAAACAGATATCCCATTAAAAAGAGATTGCATTAAACAGATATCGCATTAAAAAGAGATTGCATTAAACAGATATCGCACTAACGATATCGCACTATAGTGCGGTCAAAAATTCGTTGCGCAACTTTTCTTCACATATCTCTCTAACGGGCGAATCAATGTCATCCAGAAAGTGGAGACGAAAGCAGACGACAGAACATTGTTAGAGAGCTGCAGGAAAGGATGGGAAAGGAAAAAATTTGAGAGAGGAAAATGTTCCGTCACTATCCGGATTCGAACCCGGGACCTTCATTTGAATGACAGGCGAACACCTTAACCTCTTGGCCTCCAGAGCGCCCTGTGTTGTATAGCTGTGTCTCTGATATAGGTCTATGATATGTGGGTGGTTGGCCAGTGCTCTGGTGTGGTTTGCTTCCTCTTTCCTATCAAACATCTATCGTCCTTATCTCCCCTCCTTCTTTTTTATGTTTGTCACTCTCTTGTAATACCTCTAATCGTCTGGCGCTCGTATGACCGTATGCAGTTACAAGCGCCGTAAAACCTCTACTAAAACAAAACAAGGTCTATGATATAGTTATACATTGATTTATGTACGTCGTATATTTTATGCATGCCCCC